AAGCAGAGACATTACTTTGCCAACAAAGGTCCGTCTAGTCAAGGCTATGGTTTTTCCAGTAGTCACGTATAGATGTGAGAGTTGGACTATAAGGAAAGCTGAGCACCGAAGAATTGATGTTTTTGAACTGTGGTATTGGAGAAGACTCTTGAGAGTCCCTTGGACTACAAGGAGATCCAACCAGTCCATCCTAAAGGAGATCAGTCCTGGGTGTTCATTGGAAGGACTGATATTGAAGCTGAAACTCCAATATTTTTGGCCACCTGATGCGAAGAGCTGACTCATTTGAAAAGACCCTGATGTTGGGAAAGATTGAGGGCAGGAGGAAAAGGGGATGACAGAGGATGAGATGGTTGGATGGCATCACCGATTCAATGGACATGAGTTTGGGTAACCTCCGACAGTTGGTGATGGACAGGGAGGCCTGGTGTGTTGTGGTTCATGGGGTGGCAAAGAATTGGACATGACTGAGTGACTGAAGTGAACTGAACTGAAAGCCACTTTCATTTTAGTTCAGTTCAGTTCAGTTCAGTTGCTCAGTTGTGTCTGACTCTTTGCGACCCCGTGAATCGCAGCAAGCCAGGCCTCCCTGTCCATCACCACCTCCCCGAGTCTACTTAAACTCATGTCCATTGAGTTGGTGATGCCATCCAGCCATCTGTCATCCCCTTCTCCTCCTGCCCCCAATCCCTCCCAGCATCAGGGTCTTTTCCAGTGAGTCAATTCTTCGCATGAGGTGGCCAAATTATTGGAGATCCAAATTGAATGGAATGAAAAGTCCTGACATTTTTTTCATCTGCATATTGATAAAGGGGACATTTTAACTCTTACATAAGATGAAATCTATTTCCCCTTTGGGGAAAAGGAGGAAATGTCCTTTACCTCCAAGCATGATCTTTGAAACATTGTATGAATTGAGCTTCCCAGAGGTAAAGTATCTGACTGCCAATGCAGGAGATGCAAGAGACACAAGTTCAATCCCTGGATCAGGAAAATCCCATGAAGTAGGAAATGGCAACCTGCTCCAATATTCTTGCCTGGAAAATTCCATGGACAGAAACGCCTGGTGGGCTACAGTCCATGGGGTCCCAAAGAGTCAGACACGACTGAGCATGCATGCACATGAATGAGCCTAACTGTCTATTAAATAAATGCATGGGGTTATAAGCAGAGCAAAGCACTAGCTGGAGACAGAACCATGACCTTTGTTTTTGAGGTTATAAAACTGGGAGAGTGGACCTTCAACCCTAACCCTCCTCTTTCTCTTCAGGATTTTTTTTTAAGGTTTTTAAAATGACACTTATTTCTTAAAAGTTAACATGTGCATAATAAGAAAGCAAAAAACACAGGAAGCAAACAATGAAGTCATTCATAATTACAACAGTTTACCATCTGATGTGTCCTTCTAGATCTCCTTTGTGCATTTTCCCAACGAAGCATCCATTTTTACGTAGGATCATACAGCTAGTGTCATGCTGTTTCAAACATCATGAATATTTACCATTTTGACTAAACCCAAATGTCTTCGTAAGAGGCCGAAGACTTCAGTGCTATATGATTTTCTTCATCTCATTGCTCCAGCAGAGAGCAGAGAACATGGGCAGCCTCCCAGAACAGCCACCGCAGAACCCACTCCCCAGGGGGCATCCAGCCACCTCAGCACTTGGTACTTTGGAAATGGGGCACAAGGCCTTCAGAGATCACACCGATAACCTTTCCGTATCTCCCTGACTTCATGCTTCTTGAGGACAAATAGGGGGTGTCTCCCTCACAGAACTGTGAGGAGTAAATAACACTGTGTGTATAAAAGGCTTAATGTAGTGCACATTGTAAGCACCAAGTGAGTTGTGGCTATGATTAGCTATTATGGGAATTCCTGGCGCAGGAATTTTTTGTAATCGACCTAATCGGAGCGGTGGCGGGGCGGGGGCGGGGGGTGGTGAGGTAGAACAAACTGAGAAGCTGAAGAAAAACAAAATTATTTCAACAGCTGCTTATTAGTCATTTTAGAAAAGGTGAAAGTGGACAGTTGTCTAAATAAATTAAATTCCCTTCGTTTAAATACAAATATTTGTGGATACATGTGTACACTTAGATATACACAGAATTCTGGACAAATAGTTAACAGATAATAGCAGTTATCTCCAGGGACACCTTGACCTGGGAACAGCAACTGGGGAAAGACTTTTAAATTTTTGCCAGGTGTCTATATTATCTACTGAAAATTTTCAATTCATTTTAAAATTAATTGCTGTTTAAAATCTCTCCTAGAGGGTGTGGAGAAAAGGGAACCCTCTTACACTGTTGGTGGGAATGCAAATTAGTACAGCCACTATGGAAAACAGTGTGGAGATTTCTTAAAAAGCTGGAAATAGAACTGCCATATGACCCAGCAATCCCACTTCTGGGCATACACACCGAGGAAACCAGATCTGAAAGAGACACGTGCACCCCAATGTTCAGCGCAGCACTGTTTATAATAGCCAGGACATGGAAGCAACCTAGATGCCCATCAGCAGACGAATGGATGAGGAAGCTGTGGTACATATACACCATGGAATATTACTCAGCCATTAAAAAGAATTCATTTGAATCAGTTCTAATGAGATGGATGAAACTGGAGCCCATTATACAGAGCGAAGTAAGCCAGAAAGATAAAGACCACTACAGTATACTAACACATATATATGGAATTTAGAAAGATGGCAACGATAACCCTATATGCAAAACAGAAAAAGAGACTCCGATGTATAGAACAGACTTGTGGACTCTGGGAGAAGGCGAGGGTGGGATGTTTCAAGAGAACAGCATCGAAACACGTATATTATCCAGGGTGAAACAGATCACCAGCCCAGGTTGGGTGCATGAGACAAGTGCTCGGGCCTGGTGCACTGGGAAGACCCAGAGGGATCGGGTGGAGAGGGAGGTGGGAGGGGGGACTGGGATGGGGAATACATGTAAATCCATGGCTGATTCATTTCATGTATGACAAAACCCACTGCAATGATGTAAAGTAATTAGCCTCCAACTAATAAAAATAAATGGAAAAAAAAATAAAAAATAAAATCTCTCCTAAATTTTGTTGAAGGTGGACAAACTGAAATTGAGCATGGCCGTTTTCCGTTTTTAACTGTCGAGCGCGGATACCGCCCCCTAGCGCCTGGTACCCGCCGCCACAACGTCTTTGTTAAGCCCTGCGCCAAGCTGCTTCAGTCGTGTCTGACTCTTCGTGACCCCATGGACTACAGACCACCAGGCTCCTCTGTCCATGGGGTTTCCCAGGCAAGAATACTGCAGTGGGTTGTCATTTCCTTCTCCAGGGGATCTTTCCGACCTAGGGATGGAACTTGCATTTCTTACGTCGCCTGCATTGGCAGGTGGCTTCTCTACCACTAGGGCCTCCTCTGAAGTCCCGTGTGAAAGTGTTGGTTGCACAGTTGTGTCTGACTCTTTGTGACCCCATGGACTATGTTCCGCCAGGCTCCTCTGTCCATGGAATTCTCCAGGAAGAGTACTGGAGTGGGCAGTCATTCTCTTCTCCAGGGGATCTTCCCAACCCAGGGATCGAACCCAGGTCTCCTGCATTGCAGGCAGATTCTTTACAGTCCAAGCCACCCTAGCAAGGCTCAATCTAAAATCCTCTGGTTAAGACTATGAGTAGTTAATACATTAAACTACTGAACTATTGCCTACTCATATAGTCCAACCCTGCCATGATCGAAAATCTAGGGACTGTGAAGAATGCTTACGATATCTCATGTCTTATTCTTGCTGGACAAGTGAAATAATAGATAATTTGCGTTACAATATATGCATTCATTTTTTTCCATTCTAAACTTGACAATTACCTGAAGCAAAAAGACTTCTCTGCTTTTTCAGTTTTATCTCGTGTACATCATTTTATTTGTATTAAATCATTTACTACAGTAATTTCCCTCTTTGCATTTGTTCAAATAGAGGTGTTGTTCCACATACAAACCTTTTATGTATTTAGGTAAAAGTTTCTGAACTCTATTTCAGACTTTTTAGTTGTTCTCTATGCTATTTATTGTCATGTTATACACTTTTTAAAGTAATGTTTCCATTATTTTAAAGTATGTTCCCATTGTAAAGAAATTTTGGTATACAGTAAAGTATAATGAATGAAATAAAAGCAAGACCTAACTCTACCATCAAAAGATAGCTACTGTTAACATTTCTGTTTTCCTCCAGTTTCTCTAATGCTGTTCATTTTTAAACAGTTTTCACACTGAATTTTTAAGTCTATAAAGTACATTTCCACTACCATATATAAACATCAAGTGTTTGTCCTTGTCAAACATTGCAAAGATATCATTAGAAACTGTAAGGCATGTTTGAATATAAGGGCAAAGTTCATTTTGAACACACATACACACTAATGCAGGGTTAGTATCAGACCCTTCAGTAAATGTCATGTTTTGTTCAGATATATAACCACTGAGTGTGTATCACACTGGAGGTCACATTTTATAGTCATTCAATAATCCCCATTCAATAATTTTGTATCCTTGGCCTTTGACAAATATTTGGGCATTGGATGGAATTCTTGGGGGTCTGGCCTAGCGACTGAAGGTGCATGACTAATGGGGCATGATCCCAGGCAAGGGAGAAATCAACTGAGTTCGAGGACCTGCAAGGGGAAAAGAAGGGCCGGGCTCAGATAGGTCTGAAACCTGAGCGCGGAGCAACCTCATTGTTTATTTATAGTTTTCTAATTTTCTTCTGGATAAGTTCTCCCATTTGGGAGAACAATTTCGATCACCAACTCCTAATACAAGTTCCCAAGCAGCGACAGGCAAGGATAAAGCGTTGGTGGGCGTGTTCCCCGCCCAAGGCCCTTGTTGGACCGCGCAGAGGCTGGGGAACCCCACACCCGGAGCAACGGGTATAAAGAACCCAGCTGTGGCTCCAGGCTTCACAGGGGGAAGCACTCTCCTCATCCATCCACCGTGTTAGGTGCGGTCCGGGACACCAGGAAAATGGCACCGGCTGGCAGCAAAAATGCCAAGAAGGTGAGTGTGCGGGGGACCCAAGGGTGCTCTGGGTTTAGATCGGCCAGCCCCGCACCCCAGCCTGGAGAGAGCAGAGGGTCCCCAGCACCCCACCCCAGTCCAGAGAGAGCAGAAGCCCCCCAGCCCCGCCCCACCCCCCAGCCTGGAGAGAGCCCAGGGCCCCCAGAACTGCTGCTTCAGAACACCAAGGCGCCTCTGAGCCCCGACCCCTGTCCCCTGACCACAGCGCCCTCTAGAGCTATGTGATCCCCAACTCCAGGGCACCCCTAAAGCTGAGTCCTGCACCCCAAGATCAGAACACTCCCCAGGGTGCGACTTCCCTCCCCTCTGGCGGTGGGAGGTGGGACTTGGAGTCGCCTGCTGCGCGCCCTGGCTTCCTCCGGGTCTGCGCGCACCCCTTGGCGCCCCTAGCGAGAGAAGGCACGAGCCTAGGCTCCAACCGTTTCGTCTTGGGTACCCCACCCTGCAAGGTTCTCACCAGTCCTAAGGCTCTGGCATTGGGTGGATGATGGTAAGTTTTCACAGGCAGTTTAGATTCGGAAATCACAGAACAGTGTACCGTGCAGGCCTTGAAAAGACTGTTTAAGAAAAATTAAGCACAATGGCCCTAAGATATTGAGAAAGGACGGCTGAGTTTTTAAAATAAAAATCCAGTAAGAAGCCCACCGTTCCCTTGGGACTAGTGTTTCCGTCCAGTCTGCAGGCCTTCTTCTAGTTGGGTGGTGCGGGGTTGGGGTGGGGGTGGGAGGCCGGGGAGTCAGGGAGGGAAGGGGTGGATGGATGGGTGGATGGACTGATAACAAGGTTACAGCTGGAAGCAGGATGAGAAGGAGGAGGGAGGAGGGAGTATCCTTGCCCCTTGGGTGTCAAAACACCCGGCCCCATGCCTGGCAGAGGCCAGGGAATGCAAGGAAGGAGACAGGGCTGGCCAACTATACCCCTGAGGACAAATTCATTGCCAGTCATCCCTCTGGAGAATCCCAGGGAAGGGGGAGCCTGGTGGGCTGCCATCTATGGGGTTGCACAGAGTTGGACACAACTGAAGCGACTTAGCAGCAGCAGCCTTCTAGAAATGGGTAGTACCTAGTTTCTAAAGGGATGACCCCACCTCAAAAATACCTCCACATAAGGAAAAAAAAATTCAATTAAAAAATTTTAATGCCATGAAGTCCAAGGATTTAAAATGTTGAGATGGCCATTGCTTATAGGCTGTCACCTGTTCACTCAGAGAGAGAATTTATGCCAATCCCTACATCTACTAAAATAATATATGGCTGGAAAAGATGATTCCCATAGAGATTTTAAAAATATTTTTGCTTTGGCCCATTTGCATTGCCATAAATTCTAATCCACTCCCCAAACTCAAACTCACGAAATGAAGTTTCTTTGGTAAGCTGGTTTCCATGCCTATGTCACTGTTAAAATATGGACAATACCATGTCTACACTTCTGGTTAAAATTAAAATATGTTACAAAGCTTGTTCATTGTAAACAGCTAGGAACAACGCTAACAGCAGTGTCTGCTGCATTTTGATGTATATTCTGCTAGTTTATTGTCTAGCAAATATGTACTTTTTAAACAAAAACAGTCTGATATTAAACACTGCTTTGCAACACCTTTTCACAAACAATGTCTTGAGCAATTTCTCATAGCACATTACATTTTAAAACAAAAAAAGGAACAGAAAAATCTGAAGTTCAAGTTATTTAAAAATGCACAAGTCCATTCTCTACATGTGCATCTCCATTCCTGCCCTGCAGATAGGCTCATCAGTACCATTTTTCTAGATCCCATATATATGTATTAATAAACAATGCTTGTTTTTTTCTTTCTGACTTACTTCACTCTGTATAACAGGCTCCGTGCCTCACATGTGCTTAGTCACTCAGTCGAGTCTGACTCTTTGTGAACCCCATGGATGTAGCCCTCCAGGCTGCTCTCTCTGTGGGTTCTCCAGGCAAGAATACTGGAATGGGTAGCCATTCCCTCCTCCAGGGGATCTTTCCAACCCAGGGATGGAACATGGGTCTCCTGCATTGCAGGGAGATTTTTTACTGTCTGAGTCACCAGGAAAGCATAACAGGTTCTGGGTTCATCCAAACCCACACAACATTGTAAAGTAATTATCCTCCAATTAAAAATAAATAAATAAAATTTTAAAATTAAAATGCAGTAGAATCTAAGTGTTTTTCCTGATGAAATTGTTCAATAAATTCATGTACAGCCTGGTAACTGAATCACCACTAGCCACTTCGCCACCAAATATCAGATTGTTAGCTACGCTGTACATCAAGATGCTGTGGCACTAAAGTCTGAAAACACACACAAGAGTTCAGTGAGAGTTTCTAGGTGACTGAACAAAGTATGAATTATTTCACCCAAATGAAATTTGTAGCCAGTCATATCTCATGTATTTGACTGTTGTTCATATTTTTATACAACTGTACTGATTAGCAATATATCCATTTTTCTTATTAATTGGGTCATAATGATCAAAGCTGTAGTTCTAAGATGTGACATTTAGACACATTGTAATCATGGCAGGTATTTGGATTTTGAAATTACATGTGATGAATTCTATACTTTATAGTTGTTATCTCATGGACTTCAATACTTGAATTTTTTCTATCTGGAAAAGTTATCCAAGAATAGAAAACACATATATGTGTCCAGGAAAATGGTACAGGTAAACATGTTGGCAAAGCAGAAATAGAGTCATAGATGTAGAGAACAAACTTAGGGTTACCAAGGAGGGAAGCATGGGGTGGGATGAACTGGGACATTGGGACTGACATGTGTCCACTGCCATGTATAAAACAGATAATCAATGAGAGCCTCCTGTTTAGCACGGGACACTCGACTCGGCGATCTGTGGTGACCTAAATGGGAACGAAATCTAAAAGAGCAGATGTATGTATACGTATAGCTGATTCACTTTGTGGTGCAGCAGAAACTAACAGAACGTTGTGAAAAGCAACTGTAAAATTACTTCACAATTTAAACAAAGAAGAACAGATAGCACATCCTCCTGTTATACTGCTTTAAAGTAGAAACGTCAGATGTTTCTTTTCTCTGAGCACCAGCTGTTGAGTTCACATGGGGTGGGGCAGAAGGCGGTAAGGACTCAAGACGCCATTCAAATTCTTATGACTGCCTCTCAGATTTTGTAACCTTTGTTACATCAGCATTTATTAACCATTAATGGCAATAAATGGAACACAGTAGATATGTACATTCCAGGTTATTACTTTACATGATCTTTTCAGGGCTGTCCCACTCTCCTCTCTCCCATTTAAAATCAAATCTAGAGATTTGAGGGTAAAACAATCAGTGAGCCCTCTAGGGGCTGACCTGAAAGACTGTGTAAATTACTCAGAGACTCTGGACTTTAATTCCTCCTTTGTAAAATCAGAGAGAGGTTTCCCTGGTGGCTCAGTGGTAAAGAATCCGCCTGCGTTGCAGGAGACACAGGTTCTATCCCTGGTCGGGAAGATGCCCTGGAGGAGTGCATGGCAACCCACTCCAGTATTCTTGCCTGGAGAATCCCATGGACAGAAGGGCCTGGCAGGCTACAGTTCATAGGATCACAGAGTCAGACACAACTGAAGCAACTTAGCATATACACACACACAAAATCAGAGTATTTTTAAATTTATAATATTTTGAAATAAATGATTCTACAAGAATATTACTAATTCACAAATCACTTTAAAAATATTAAGTTCAAAGTTGCTATTTTAACACCAAGGTAATAATTGCATATACAGTAAATGGAATAGGTATGCAAGTTGGACTGGAAATCAGTTTACAAATATTTTATTTACTGGTTTCTTCCCAGTTCTCTCACTTGCAGAGAGCAGGCCATGCATACTTACGACTTTCTGGACAGCATAATGCAGCTGCTGTTATGGAAACTGAATTTTAGCACCAAAGACGTTAATCTTTAATTGATTTGGCCATCTTTGTGGTGGTATCTTCTGCCTTCTGTCCTCACCAAATATATTTTGACTTTTCAGTCTCAAAACGCCTTTGTAGCATCATATGCAACTTCAACTTCTTTATAAAACATAATCCTCTCTTTTGTTTATTGATAGAAAAAGGAGAAAGACTGACAGTCACTGTTTTAAGAATGTGTGCTTAAGTATTCATTTGAGGCTTTACAACAAAACCTTTTCATTTAATCTTTCTGAAGATATTTATTCAAACATAACATCCTCCCACAATATCCTTCAAATACTATTTAGTGTGTTCTGAAAAACCCCCATCCCTGGCACATACACATGGATACACAAGCTTTTATTATATGAACATTCTGATGGTTTGCCTTATAGTCACAAATTTCTGAATAAAATATATATGTATTTTCTGAGAATTTTAAAGAAATCATACTTCTCAACAATATGAGAGCAAAAGTAGAAAATTGTATTAAAAATTCAAATGATTCATTTTTCATTTTCTCCATCCCCCCCACCCCAACAACGTTAGGGCATCCTGGAACGGCTGAACTCTGGAGAGGTCATCATCGGAGATGGAGGGTTTGTCTTTGCGCTGGAGAAGAGGGGCTACGTGAAGGCAGGGCCCTGGACCCCAGAAGCCGCCGTGGAACACCCAGAAGCAGGTTGGTGCACAGCTCTATTTTAAGCTCTCACAAAAGACGACTGTGGTGACCCATGTCTAGGAGCATGCCATCAAACAGATGCCTCCATGCTAAGGTTTCCAAGTATTTATTACTGCCTGCTGGGCAGTGTGCCATGTACAAATATAGATTCACCTGTTGGGTAAATACCAGTGGCCCCTCCTTATTTCTGTCACCTCTGTCTACCTCTCGCTCCCTGGTCCTTGCTCTAGATGAGTCTAGAACCTGGCTCACTTCCTTCTCCTCTGCCCCTACCTACCTCCTCCAACACCCATATATGTGATTCATCCAGCACTCTTTCTATTAGTACCCTGACCTCCTCCTCATCTCCAGCAAAACTCTCCTCCATCCCCACCTCAGCAACCCACTCCTAGGCCTTGCCATCACCAACAGCTGTCCACCTCTGAAATCTCAAGGACAGGTACCACATTCTCTGACCACACCCCCTCCCATCTTTTCTGCTCATTCTTCCTAGTACTCCTATTCTTCAATCTCATCATAACTCTGTCCTTCATCTCTCTCATTTTAGTGAGTTTTACCCATTCTTCCCCATAAGTCCACCTTCCTTCCTTAACCCACTTTAAGTTCCATGATATAGCGTCAGTCACCATCTTGCAGATAAGCCCTCTTCCAGTCTGTATTTGCCAACTAGTTAAATTCATTGTATACTAGCTCCACCCTATTTAAATTCAGCCATCTACCTATGCCGCATCTGTATCCACAAACCTTATTCTCACTTTATTTTCTTGATTACAAATCTTTTTGGCTAGGAAGGGAGGTAGGATGCAGCCTGAAAGGAATAAATGTTTGTCTTTCAGGGCCTCTGTATCATCCTTAAGCAATAGAGAAGGATTAATCTTTAAAAGGGGAGGAAATGGGCCACTTCTACAGGCCCAGAGAGTTCAGGGGGATGTGGGGTTTTCAAGGTTGATGGGTTAATCCAACTATGTCTTTATTCCAGGTCTCAAGTCCCATTTCTTCTTAATCAGATCTTAACTTTTGGCAATAGAGTACTTTTCTGGTTGAGAACTCTGAATGGGTGGGTGTTCCAGCTGGCCAGAATGGGATCTGACTCCAGAACAATGCTTGAAGAGTAATTTCCTGTGGCTGGTTGTGGCTTTAGCTCTTGCAGGTCAGACCAGTCAGGAAACATATTATGAAGTGGAGATTTGTGCTCAAGAGTTCTACTAGGAAGTATTTTCAAGAAACAGTACCTCTAAGGGAGCAAGGGAAGCAGGACTGAGCAGCAGAAAGAGCTCAACTGTGAGGAGTTGCAACAGAGGTTCCAGCCAACCCCTCAGGGAGCTTCAGAGTTGGACAGGCCCCTCAGAGTTGCCCCAGATTGAGGCAAGGGGGCTAGTTTGTGTTCTCCCCCTGTGAATAGACCAAGCCCTACATACAAGCTTGATCTCCCCTCCCGCTTTGGCCTAAGGCACTTCCTAAGGAGGGTCTCAGTCATCAGCAATCAACACTTAGAAAGAATCTGAATCTTTCAGAGGAAGCCAGAGTTCTTGTGAATATTGTATATGATAATAAAGTTGCTTTTTTATGGTAAAGGAGAGCATGTTTCCCTGAACTCAGAAATGAAGGATGGAAACTAATGAAGAACCTAATCAGAGAGAGTACAGCTTTCAGATCCAGTACAGACTCTAGACCCAGACTAACTGGATCAAATCCTGACACAGCCACTAGGTTGTATGGCCTCGGGGAAATTACATAGCTTCCCTGTGTATAAACTGAGATAATACTGACATCTACCTCATAAATTTGTTATGAGGATTAAACTATATGTGCAGTATTTAAAATAGTGTCTGATGCATGTTAAACACAAGTATTAACTATTGTTATTATTCTCTTGATTGAGTTGTTTCTTATCTTGTTAATATTTTTGGCTGTATTAATCTACTTCTTGGAAATGGTTGGGTGCTATCACTGACGCAATGGACATGAGTTTGAGCAAACTCCGGGAGAGTGTGAAGGACAGGGAAGCCTGCCTTGCTGCAGTCTGCGGGGTCGTAGAGAGTCAGACACGACTTAGCGATTTAACAGTCTGTTTCTTGGTTGTATCCATCTATTTCTGCTAGAGAAGTACAGAAATGTGTTCAATTCACACAGTCCTTAAAAAGTATCAAAAGTAAAAGAGCTATAGTCACATTATGAAATCTAGCAAATGTACACAACTTTTATATGTCCAAATAAAAGTAGAAATAATACTGTGTGCTCTACCGTTTAAAAAAAAGTGAAATAAGGAGGTTTGGGAAGCTAAACCAATAGTAGATCTCAAATTTTAGATTCACCAATGGAGTTTGTTAAAAATTATAGGTTCCTAGCCCTCATTTACAGAAATTTGGTTTCATTAGGTTTTGAGGGGGTCCAGGAACCTGCATATTTATAATACCTGACCCCAAATAATGGCAAGGTGAACCTCACTTTCAGAAGCACTGCATTAAAGTGATGTAAGGAATACAGTGGAATAATTAAGACCTCAGACGGAGGATTTCTAATATATCCATGTTTTGTTTCTTAAGGTTTGAGTGCTGGGGTAAACTCAGAATGAAATATTTCTTGGGCCAAACTGACATTAACAATAAACTACCTTTGCCCAAACTCTGCCTTGAAAACAAAATAAGACTCTTGTTTAAACTGCAAGTTTCAATTTTGTGAGTCACATTTTCTTTTTTAAAGTTACACATTAGAGGAGTTCAAGAGAAATTGCTCTGATTTCCTTTGATTTTATTAATGCAGAAAGAGCACGTTTGATCTCTTAGCCATTTGTGTCTTGAATATTTTAAGCTTATTTAAATGTATTGAGCATTTGCTCTACTTTTTCTTCAGGGAGCTGCCTGCTTTTTCAAGAATTAATGAAAACTCCGTAATTCTGAGTTATTAGATTTAATCCGTTCTGCTACAGATTGACATCCCATATATTCAGGTCTGCCAGTGCCTAGTTCAAACTCTGTCAACCCCAGTGCAACTCCAGGATGCATCAGACAAGACAAATCTCCTGCTTGTAATGCATCTTCATAGAAACATTTCATAGGACTTCAGATGTATTTAACCTGTTCAAGGAGGGGAGGGGTGAAAGGTATTTAAAACCAGGTGGCGCCAGTGGTAAAGAACCCACCTGCCAATGCAGGAGACATAAGAGACATGGGTTTGATCCCTGGGTTAGGAAGATCCCCTGGAGGAGGGCATGGCAACCCACTCCAATATTCTTGCCTGGAGAAGCCCACAGGACAGACGAGCCTGGTGGGCTACAGCCCACGGGGTTGCAAAGAATCAGACACGACTGAGGCGACTCAGCACGCACGCACACTCATGCTCTCAATGAAAGAATGGTCAGTGTCATGCTGTTTTACGCAAATGAGTTTGTTTTCTGCAGGCGCTTTTCTAATTTTGACTGAGTGATAGCTGGAATTCATATCTATTCTGATAAGTTTCCCTGCAAACTGAACGGCACCCAAAACATTTTTGTAGGATTGGTACCTGGGCTTAACTTTTGGGAGCTGTAAGCAGTGAGGAAAGGAAAATTATGCTACAGATCTACCATCTCTTATCCAAGCCCTGTTGGGGCCAAATGTGTCTTAGAATCCAGAATTTGAGGAAATTTTAGAAAGTTAATACATTAGATATGCTACATACTGTGTAACACTCTCTTTAGGGTCTAAAGTGCTCCCCAGCCCCCATCAAACACATTAATACTCCTTTTGCATCAATATATATGACTACTCACTCTAAATGGGATACAATTATAAATATCCTCACATTAGTTCAAGTCACTTTGCTCCCGAGTGATTTTGCTACAAATTTATTATCCCAGTGAAGAAACAGTGCAAAATTTTTTTTTGACTTTTTAGAGTTAGGTGTGGAATTCCAAAGACTCCCCTTTCTCAGAAAATTTACAAGGTAATAGCTATGCTCTATACATATATATCTGGATAATATACATATATGATCATGTATATATGCACATATATACTTATATAATATTGTATATTACATTGTATGTCAAGTATAATACATACTTGGTAATATTTAGCTTCTATGATGCTAAAATGAGACTAGTATAATGGAGAGTTTAAAGCTATAAAATGAATATAATTAGTATAGATTGTATCATTGTTCTAGGAACCAGTCACATCCTATGTTACTGGTTAGAGGATGAAGACTCAAGAGTTTTATGATGACAGGAAATAGATATTGAAAGGATATGCAGAAATCACCAGACTAATTATCCTACTAAAGTTTATGCCAAAAGTTGTGGTTCTTGCACTCAATGGAATTAGCATTGTATTTGGAAATGAATTTGGGCCTGGAAGGCTTTGAGGAATCTGAATATTTGTTCCCAGGTGAACCTAGTAAGGTCACACTCGGAGAAGCTCTCCTTTTTTAAGAAGCATGAAGGAATAATCAAATTGATTAAAAGTGAAAGTTGTCTTCACTTTTTTGAATCACTGCCCTCTGGAAAAATCTGATAAAACTTATAGGCCCTCTGAGAATCATAACATGTTTGTACATGCAAACAATTTGCACACTACTCCGGGGTTTTCATTTTGTGTTGTACAGTCTCTGGAAATCCGTCGAAGGACCACCAGGGTGGACTTGTCACTCATAAGCCATTCTGTCACAAGAACAGGAGCCAAGCCTGTCGTCCCTTCTCCCCTACTCCTGCCACAGCGCTGTTTTCCCGATTACTCTACGTAAGGGTTTTCAGTCGATTCTGTTGTGAATTAAAACAACTTTGAAATGCCCTAATTTATGAATGTTTTCAAGTTCCCACTGAGATCTAAAGTTTCCATGATTTTAAAAGCAAAGATTTGGCTTCAAACTTAGGAATCCATTTTCTGACATACATTACAGTTTTTTGTGCGTATTTTTTTGGCCTCACCTTTAAGTCCATTTATAAACAAACACAAACAAAAATGCTTCCTATGTTCCTGGCACTCCACTAGGCATCTAGGCTGCAAAGCCACCAGACTAATCTCCAGTCTTAGACCCCGAAGGACTAAGAACACCAGTGTCCTAGTAATTTTTTAGACTCTAATTGCTCCCAAACCTGTGGATTTTACAGGCCTCTGAAATTTAGAAATAAATTTTAGTGTCCAAAATACAACTGCTGACTTCTTACTCTGCCCAGTCGTTTCTCTTGACAAAAACATAACACTGAGTCTCACTATTTGTTTTATAAAAGGAACAACCTTCTGCTCTCTTGGAATGGTGATGCTCAACAAAACCGAAAGTAAGAATCAGTTGAGAAACCTTTCCAAAAAATTGCCTGTGCCATACCCTGAACCAATTAAATTAGAATATACATGGATTTGACCCTAAGATTCATAATTTTTTAAAAGCTTGCAGGGTTATGTAATGGGCAGTTAGAGTTTAGGACCACTATTTTAGAGCAAAGGATAATGGATAACTCTTTAAATTGCATAATTTGATTAAATGGAAAACAAAAACTTCCCACTATATTTCCTGCAGCCATGAAAGCTTTTCCACATGGTAGTCATCTGTGGACCTAGCTTGGTAACCTTACTCCAACTCTGCTATCAGAATTATTTTTCAAAAACAATGAACTAATCATATTAACCAATTGCTTTAAAACTGTTGATGTTTCCCCAATATCTATGATCTGGAGCCTAGACTCCCTGGGATGATGTGCAAGGTCACTTGCACTCTGTCTGGCAGCCCACCTCTCCCGGTCTGTCTCCCACGACTTCTCCAGCATATCCTCAGCCCCAGCCATCCAGGCTGCTTGTCATTCCCCCAAATGCCAAGACTGTTCTGCCTCCTTATCTTTGCTTGGGCTGTTCCCTCTCTAGGGAATGCCCTTCCCCACGTTCTCTGCCTAGCAAAATCGCTGAGATGATTCCTCCTCTGTGGGACCTCCCTCTTCCCTTCACCCCACATCACTGATAGAGATAATCTCTTGCTCCTAGCAAGAGACTCCATATCTACCTCTCATTGTCCCCCAGGATGAGCAAATGCCAGACAACCAGGAATTTAAGCGCATATTTTCATGTTTGTTTATCTAAGAGCCTTCTGAAAGCATCACAGGCCGATAAACTGATAGCAAAGAATATCTTTCAATCTCCCAGTTCGCCAGCTTCATCGGGAGTTCCTCAGATCTGGCTCCAACGTCATGCAGACCTTCACCTTCTATGCCAGTGAAGACAAGCTGGAGAACAGGGGAAACTATGTTGCAGAGAAACTATCCGTGAGTAACACCATACTGTGTCTTAGGCACCTGTGTCATCAACAAAGCTCCTGTAGAAAAAAGTGTTGAGCCTTGTTAGAGTTTCATTTTGTTTTAAACAGAAATGAGGTATGTGTGAATAATATTCTTAGGTCTTAGCTAGAGTCCCCCAAATTAACAGAAAGGCATTTAATGAAGCAGATCAAAGAAGTATTTAACTATTAATGATTTTCCAAGTCTTTTGACTAAGTTGTTGAGTGAGTATCCTTACAAACTCTTAGATCTTTACAGTTTTTTAATGTGAAAGTATAGGAGAAAGGTCATATATGGCAGGAGTCAGCGAATCTAGAGTATTCCTAGCTGAGCTACAGTTAACTGTGTGATGCTGGGCAAACCACTTACCTATCCCATCAAATCAACAACTTCTTCATCTCTAAAATGAAAAAGGAATTCTAAAATTCCATGCATCTGTGTGATATTTTGAGGACAAGAGTCAGTTTTTAAGGTTCAAATACTTCAAAAATACCGTTGGTAGCTCAATAGGGACTGCATTGAATCTATAGATTGCTTTGGGTAGTATAGCCATTTTCACATATTGATTCTTCCAATCCATGAACATGGTATATTTCTCCATCTGTTTGTGTCCTCTTTGATTTCTTTCATCAGTGATTTATAGTTTTCTATATATAGGTCTTTTGTTTCTTTAGGTAGATATACTCCTAAGTATTTTATTCTTTTTGTTGCAATGGTGAATGGTATTGTTTCCTTAATTTCTCTTTCTGTTTTCTCATTGTTAGTGTATAGGAATGCAAGGGATTTCTGTGTATTAATTTTATATCCTGCAACTTTACTATATTCATTGATTAACTCTAGTAATTTTCTGGTAGAGTCTTTAGGGTTTTCTATGTAGAGGATCATGTCTGGGCCAAAGAACTAAACAGACATTTCTCCAAGGAAGACATACAGATGGCTAAAAAACACATGAAAAGATGCTCAACATCACTCATTATCAGAGAAATGCAAATCAAAACCACAATGAGGTACCATTACATGCCAGTCAGGATGGCTGCTATCCAAAAGTCTACAAGCAATAAATGCTGGAGAGGGTGTGGAGAAAAGGGAACCCTCTTACACTGTTGGTGGGAATGCAAACTAGTACAGCCGCTATGGAAAACAGTGTGGAGATTTCTTAAAAAACTGGAAATAGAACTGCCATATGACCCAGCAATCCCACTTCTGGGCATACACACCAAGGAAACCAGATCTGAAAGAGACACGTGCACCCCAATGTTCATCGCAGCACTGTTCATAATAGCCAGGACATGGAAGCAACCTAGATGCCCATCAGCAGACAAATGGATAAGGAAGCTGTGGTACATATACACCATGGAATATTACTCAGCCATTAAAAAGAATTCATTTGAATCAGTTCTAATGAGATGGATGAAACTGGAGCCCATTATACAGAGTGAAGTAAGCCAGAAAGATAAAGACCATTACAGTATACTAACACATATATATGGAATTTAGAAAGGTGGTAATGATAACCCTATATGCAAAACAGAAAAAGAGACACAGATGTACAGAACAGACTTTTGGACTCTGTGGGAGAAGGCGAGGGTGGGATGTTTCAAGAGAACAGCATTGAAACATATATATTATCTAGGGTGAAACAGATGACCAGCCCAGGTTGGATGCATGAGACAAGTGCTCAGACCTGGTGCACTGGGAAGACCCAGAGGAATTGGGTGGAGAGGGAGGTGGGAGGGGGGATCGGGATGGGGAATACATGTAAATCCATGGCTAATTCATGTCAATGTATGACAAAAACCACTACAATACTGTAAAGTAATTAGCCTCCAACTAATAAAAATAAATGAAAAAAATAAAATAAAATCTTAAATGGAAAAAAAAAACTTCAAAAAGATCTTACTTGCGATACATTTATCTGTTAATTGATAAAATATATAATGACAAAAAGTCATGAATTCTGTAGTCATTTTAATTAGTTTATTTTTATTAATCAAAAAAGCAAATCATCATCACCACCACTATTTGCTAGGTATTCTTCTAACTGCAGTTTAAGCATTGGAAGATATCAGATCCTTTTATATATTTGCTTATTTCAGCCACACATTGCGGCATGTGGGATTTTAGCTCTTGATCAGGGGTTGAACTCATGCCCCCTGCAATGAAGTGTGGAGTCAACCACTAGACCACCAGAGAAGTCCCAGAAGATATCAGATCCTTTTACAGAAAGACTTTTACCCTCTCACAGATCTTTGGTATAATGTAATATCCCTAAATATCATCGTAAGATTTATTTTTTTCGTCACTGTTATTGGCAGTGTTGTTACTACAAATTGTTCAACTCCGTAAACATTGAACTATTCCATCACTCTCATTTTCTGAAATAAAATCACTGTTGTAACATACAACTGAGATGTAGACATTTGAATAACAATTTTGCTTCAATTTCACATGAAAATGTAACCATACCATATATTCACCCTTTTTAGGGGCAGAAAGTCAATGAAGCCGCTTGTGACATTGCACGGCAAGTGGCTGATGAAGGAGATGCTTTGGTAGCAGGGGGCGTGAGCCAGACACCTTCGTACCTTAGCTGCAAGAGCGAAACTGAAGTCAAAAAAGTCTTTCAGCAACAGTTAGAGGTCTTCATGAGGAAGAACGTGGACTTCTTGATCGCAGAGGTAAACAGATACTATCAAAAGTGAGACAAGTACACTTAGTACATGCCTTTACTCTCACGAGGACCATTTGGAGTTAGGTACCAGTCATGACTAGTACCAGTAATATTTATTTTCGAAAACTTCTTCCAATTTAGGGCTTCAACTAAATGTGATTCAGTTGATGTAATATAGCATTCTTCAAACCTTTGGAATGCAATTCACAGAAATCACCATTCTATTCTGTTTTTTAAATGCTAATGAATCACAACTCAGAGATTAAGAAACACTCATCTGGGGATAATTAGGTTATATGCAATAGGATAAGTTTTCAAATTATTTGGGGAGAAACAAAATTAAAAGTACTTTGACTTTAACTTATTTCAGTATTTTGAACACGTTGAAGAGGCTGTATGGGCAGTTGAAGCCTTGAAAGCATCAGGGAAACCAGTGGCGGCAACTCTGTGCATCGGCCCAGAGGGAGACTTGCACAGCGTGACCCCCGGCGAGTGTGCAGTGCGCCTGGTTAAAGCAGGTGATGATAGATTTTGATTGGCTTGCAACTAGTGTGTCTTTTAAATGACATACAAACACAGGTCCATCTATGAATCACTATATACTACTTTTGTTACAGGAAAATCATTCATTTACTTTCTTAAGAATGCTGATACATTATTGCGTCTCAAAGAGAAAAAGTATAAAAAAACAAAAAAACGTACACCCATCAGCCTTTTGAAAGGGGCAACTAGATCTACACTGAAGGTTTAATACCTAGAAATGAGAAGAATTTTGGTAGATCATAAAGAGTATTAGGACAAATTATGTTTTATTTTAAATTTATCTCAAGTTGAGGTCTTTAGATATTAATATCTTTCAAGACGGTTGCCCCCTTTGCCAAAGTTTTTCCATTTTCCATAAATTACTGGTATGCTTAACTTTTTGTAATTAGTATCATAAAATTTAAAATCCTTTGATATGAAATATTGAATATTCAATTTATCTTTTTCTATAATTTCCATCCCTAATATTGGGTTTCATTTCAGTTAGGGAAAATTCACAGACTGTTTTCAAAGCTGCCTCACTTTAAACCTGACGAATAGCACAGTGTCTATGGAAGAGTCTGACTCACTCTGTGAAGTAGAGATTTTGATTGGCTAGTCTTATCTGACCAATCAAAATTTAATTTAATTTCTCATCTTTATCCAACTCTTGATATGTCATGAAAGTTATTTCATATTTGTCACTAATAATTACAATTATTTAGGTTTAGGTTGACATTGTAGAACCCGAATTTCTGATTATAAATACAAAAAATGAGGAGAGCGCATCCCTGGTGGTCTGGTGGTTAAGAATCCACCTCGCAATGCAAGGGGCACCAGTTTGATGCCCGTCCTGGGAAGATCCCACATGCTGCAGAGCAACTAAGCCCATGAGCCTTAACTACAGAGCCTGCACTCTAGAGCTTGCAAACAGCAACGACCGAGCCCACGTGCTGATGCTGCTGAAGCCCATGCACCTAGAGCCTGTGCTTTGCAGCAAGCAATGGGAAAGTCTCAGTTGCTCAACCATGTCCAACTCTTTGAGACTCCGTGGACTGCAGCCCTCCAGGCCCACCTGTCCGTGGGATTCTCCAGGCAAAAATACTGGAGTGGGTTGCCATTCCGTCTCCAGGGCACATTTCCAACCCAGAGATGGAACCTGCATTGTAGGCAGATTCTTTACCGTCTGAGCCACCCCTGAAATGAGAAGCTGGCAACAAAGAGTAGCCCCTCCTTGCCACAACTAGAGAAAGCCAACATGCAGCAATAAAGACACAGTACAGCCAAAAATTAAAATTAAAAAAAAATGGGGGGAGAAACTAAGTTAACATGTTTCAAAAAGATCAGAGGAGGCCCTCATCCTCCCAGTTGTTAGCTGGCAGGGATTCTTGGCCTGTGTCTCATCCTTTCCTCACCCATCTATTCAGAGTTAGTGGCCACAGTGCTTGCCGTCACTGTACCCTGTGTATATCCTTTATAGAACTTACCCAGATATCTCATTTGTTTATGTCTTAAATGTCTGGGTCTCTCACTAGACTGTAAAATCCCAGAGGGCAGAGACTATGTCCGCTTGACTCAGCACTGAGTACCCTGTTCCCAGCATACCACCCAGCACATACAGGCTCTTAGTATCCATCTCACAATCAAGTCCATCTTCCAGTGTTGTTAGTCCAACTTCCATATGTCCTTACATAGTCACTCCTACCCCAAGTGATCACTTCCTCCTCTCAGCAGCTTTAACACTTTCTATTTATACCACACATTTGTAGTATCCTCAGATGACATTTTCTTTTTTTTCCTTTTATCTCAAAAAGACATTTTCTAACCTGTGAGACTCTTAATAGGGTTCTGCAGTTACACGGAGGTAGAAAATTCAGTTTTAAACCAAGTGAAGCAGTCTCTTGACTGCAGAACTTCTCAGAGCCTTTGACATGTTCATATATATTTGCAGTCTCCAGGAAGGGGCTACAGTTGAAAAAAAAAAAAGCCCACTCCTAATGTAATTGTTCATAGAACCTAATTTTCATAGAGCAAACCTTTGGAAACCCTGTGCTAAATTATAAAATCTTTGGTGTCCTATATTTATATTTCTTCATAACCCTTTACGAGGACCTTTGTGCCTAAATGACATCCAACAAATAGCCAACATATGATTAATTCATTAGTGTAATGAAGTCAAGAAAAGAAAGAGAAACTCTGACTGCAGAATATCCAAAAAAAGAAAGTGGTCAAGATCCAAGTGACCCTGTTCAGTAAGCTGTTGAATATACCAGCCTGGAATCCAATGGAAAGGTCGTGGTTAGAGAGAGAAGCTTGGGAGAGTTGTGTACGTATATGGTGTTGAGAGCCTGGGGTAGAAAAGGAAGTGTAGACGCAGAAGAGAAGATGGCCCAATGGGATCCTGTGACACTGCAGGATTGAAAGGTTCAGCCTTGAGGAGGGGTTAGCACATAGCACTCTCAAAAAAGCAGCCAGGGAGGTAGGAGCAATACTCAGAGAACAAGAGAAGTTCTCAGAAGCCAAGAGAAGGGGAGTATTGAAGGAGCTGAAGGAGAGAGTGCCACTTGGATGAAAGTGGCTGAGACGTTGAAGCAGATGAGGACAGAGAAGGGACTACTGGATTGGCAAGATCGAGGTCATCAGTGCCGTTAACGAAAACTGATTCAGAGGAATGATGGGGAATGAGGCCTGATTGGAACAGGAATGAAGAGCAAACTGCAGGCCCAGGCCTGTGAGGACTACTAAGATGTCTGCTACTGAACACTGAGATCATAGCGTGTAGCATCAGCTCTGCTGCTCTGGTAATGTAGATGTTGGTGTCACTCTCATTATAGCCAGAAAGATTCTTTCCTTTCCTTGTTCTTGATAACTGTATATCCAAGATGCAAAATCCTAGGCCGTGAGTTCATCCAAAAAAAGTCCTTTTTGAAGGTAGAAACAACCCAAGTGTCCAACTAATGAATGAACAAACAAAATGCAGTGTGTGTGTGTGTGTGTGTGTGTGTGCAATGGAATATTACTTAGCCATAAAAATGAATGAAATTCTGACACATGCTTCAACAGGGATGAACCTTGAAAACATTGTATTAAGTGAAATAAGTCAGTTACAAAAGGACACATATTGTATGATTTCATTTACATGAAAGTTTCAGAAAAACCCTTTCCTAAATTTCATTCTGCTCTTATGCCCAAGAAACTCAATAATGCTTTAAATTGGCCTGGTGAAAGGGAACATTGATTTATTCCTCAGATGAGTGGTATGGTCACCACAGGTGCCACTGGGCAGCTGGGAGTAGTGAAAAATTATCGTGCTTTTCAATATAATGTCAAAGATTGAAAAAAGTGACTATTAAAATTTGAAGTTAAAAAAACCTCTAATAATGTTTGGTTTTATTTTCCAAAAAAGATGGACAGCCAAGTGCTTATAAATGACATTTCAATTGTACCAGACTCTTCAGAGCACTTTTCAGAGAAAGCATTTGCTGCCTGTTAGTAGTCATTCTTGCCCAAGGGTAAGATAAGTTTGCAGGGACCAAATGCTATCCTTCTAATTCACCATACCAAATTAAAGCTCCCTGACTCAGAGTTGGCATCTGGTATCTGGTGAATCTCTAAAACTAAACTGTTCTTCCACTTGCAGGAGCTTCCATTGTGGGGGTGAACTGCCATTTTGACCCCACAATTAGCTTACAAACAGTGAAGCTCATGAAAGAAGGCTTGGAGGCTGCGGGACTGAAAGCCCACCTGATGAGTCAGCCCTTGGCCTACCACACTCCCGACTGCGGCAAGCAGGGATTTATTGACCTGCCAGAATTCCCCTTTGGTAAGAAAGCCATTTTATAAATCATCTCAGGGTCTTCATGTTTGACAAATTCCAAATAAACCTCTGGCCATAGAGCTTTATCATGGTAAAACGATGGCAGCATATCTCCTCATCTCTTGGCCCTACTGCTCTCCCTGCAGCCCCAAAACTTTTAAATTAGACATTAGGAAACACAGGACCAGCAAGCAAAAAAGACCTCTGATCTAAAGGTAAAATCAAAGGTGAGTCAACACCTAGGTAGACAACCAGTTCATCACACATGGAGTTTGGTAAGAAGAATGCCCTCCTGAGCAGGATGAGTGAAGACTCTGCTTCTGGTTCTAGCTCTGTTGCTAAGTGGCAGAACCTTAGCAAAGTTCCTTAGTTCATCCAGATCTGAATTTTCTCATCAGATAAATAAAGTTAGGCCAAGTTATCACCAGTATACTTTTCTCTTATTTTGAATGCTGCTTGAATACTCTAGCTATATCTGAGTTGGGGGGGGGGGGGGCGGGGCACAGAGGGAAGGTGCCATCACTGGGTTACAGTGCAACAGATTTGAATGAAGAGATCAAAGCAGATAATGTGGGGGGAACCCTTGCAGTCTGAGAAGAGGGATAAAGCTTGTATGGGAAGTAGGCGTGAGTCTACCTGGAGAATCAAGCTGGAGGGGAGCCTGGCCTGGCCAGCCTACTATTTCTTTCTAGGGTCCTTATCTCATATTCTAGAGGGACTCTGTAAAATCATCAGTCTAGAAGAACCACAGAAGAATGGCGAGGCATTTGTGGTTTTATTGGTGTAGAAGAGATTATTGCAGAATTTAGTGTCTTTAAACAGCTAATTTTTTTTAATCTCATAGTAGCTGTGGGTCATGGATTTGGGAGTGCTTAACTCAGAGTCTCTTAATAGGCTGCACTACAGACTCTTACAAGGGTTATAGTCATCTGAAGGCCTGATGGCAGCTCTTTCAAGCTCTCTTAGCTGTTGGGAGTTGGGGTCAGTTTTTTGCTATCCATTGACTGGACCGCTCAGTTTCTTGGCTCATGGGCTTTTCCACTGTGATACTTGAGCATCTCACAGTGTGACCACTGGCTTCCCCTGGGATGAGTGATCCAAGAGAGAACAAGGCAGAAAGCCTAATGCCTCTAATGATCTAGCCTCAGAAATCACAAGCCATCCCTTCCACCATACTTTATCAGTCTCACAGACCAGCCTGATACAATGCAGGAAGGATCCCACAGGGGTGAGACCATCAGAGGGCAGAGATCATTGGGGGTCATCTTGCAGTCCTGCTGTCACAGCTGTTTAAACTGGGCCTGTCAATGCAAGGTAGCGAATCATTTTTAAAAGTTAGGAACTGAAAATTTCTTCTCAGAAATATAAGATCTTATCTAATTCATTTACTGAAAATAACATTTATTGTAGCTATTTATTTTGAATATTTTTACTGAAGCAGAGCATCATTTACTACAGGACTGGAACCCAGAGTTGCAACCAGATGGGATATTCAAAAGTACGCCAGAGAGGCCTACAACCTGGGGGTCAGGTACATAGGCGGGTGCTGTGGATTTGAACCCTACCACATCAGGGCAATTGCAGAGGAGCTGGCCCCAGAGAGGGGATTTTTACCACTGGCTTCAGAAAAACATGGCAGCTGGGGAAGTGGTTTGGACATGCACACCAAACCCTGGATTAGAGCCAGGTAAGAACCTTAAACTGTATTTGCCAAACAAAACTCACACAAATTATGAATACATCCAAGTGAGGTCATTACAAAAAGTACCGCCAATTTGCAGTGTAATGACAAAGAATCACTTAGCCTCTTCAAATTCTCTCACAAAAATATTTATAACTTTAGCTTTACGGAGTGATTTCTGAAGAAAGCTTTAAGAATATAGAATATAAATAATGTAAGTTGCAACAAAATGTGATTTCACACTCTTGGAAAGCACCAGCTATGTGGTGGACACTAACAGTGAATCAGTTGTTAGGATTCAAGTACAAATATTAATTGCTTATTCTGTGCCAAGCACGATCCTTGGAGCTGGGAAGACAGTAGTGAATGAGATTTAAAAAGGTCTTTGCTCTCAGAGCTTACATTCCATGGGGGATGAGGAACAATAAACAAATAGATTTTCACATCAGGCAATGTGCAGGGTACTAGGAATACAGAAATGAAAGGCTGCAGTCCCTGGCTTAGAGCCTCTCACAGTCTACTGGGGGAAATGGAGAAGAAAGCTGATGTATTATACTGTAGTAGAGGCATGGATAAAAAAAGTAACAATGAAGTGAAGAGAATAACTATCTCTACCTAATAGATGATGTAGAAGAAGGGACTTTGGGGCTAGATTTTGAAGGGCTAGGTAGATTTCCACAGAAGAAGGAAGTGGGTAGAAACTGCCCCCCAAGCAGAGGCAGCAGTTTCGGTCTCTCTGACCAACATTAGTTCAACAAAACTGTGTCATACACTGGTTATAGATGCCAAAGGAGCAAGCTGGACAAGGCACAGGCCTGTCTCCAAGTCTAGTAGGCAGAGAGACAAATAGCCAAGTTCACCTGACATAGTCAGTTAAGGATGAAGATGTACACAGGTGCTGGGGGTCCGCACTAACGGCCAACAAGGGGAAAAGCAGGAGAGCTGGTGAAGGATTTCCCACAGAGGTAGCATCTGAGCTGAGTTCTGAAGGACGAGTTACATTGCCAGGCAGGAGAACAGCCGAGAGGGAAGCACTGGGTGGGAGTGCCAAGAGAACGGTATGCTGAGACATTAGAAGTCTGAGAACCTCAGATTCAGAATTTGGTAGGAGACACACATCCAGACAGGAGGTGGCCTCTGTTCACACTCATGAGGTCTGGAAGACCTTATCTCAAGGCAGTGAGGAGCCTGAAGGGTCTGAGACCAAGTTCAATTTGCAAGTTTCAGTAGCCTGGAGACAGGGAAACCTATGAGGAAGTATTTTCTGCAAGAGACCAGACCAGGCAAGGCCTGGAACTAGGAGCTGATGGAAATAGCAAGGAGGCAGAGGTGGGATCTCCGGGTTGAGGGTGCAGACGCAGCACTGGCTTTGGGAAGAGCAGCAAACATGGGCATAGGTGGCTCAGAAGGCAGAGCCAGAAAGTGAGGATGGGGAGGCGACATAACTTAGAAAGTGTCCTTGTTCCAAATCCTTAGCTTTTGAACCTATGTGCACATGAAAAGAAGGAATTCAAAGTAATTTTAGACCTACAGATTCTGAGGAAAAAGAAAAGATAGACGTGTTTCAGAGGACACACTCTCGAGAGTCCAAAGATGGCAGGTTCTAGCTCGGCCTAGAGACAGACCCTCAGGCTTCTGTGTGTTTTGTTCACCCAGGGCCAGGAAGGAATACTGGGAGAATCTTCGGATAGCCTCGGGCAGGCCGTACAACCCTTCCATGTCAAAGCCGGACGCCTGGGGAGTGACCAAGGGAACAGCCGAGCTTATGCAGCAGAAAGAAGCCACAACCAAGCAGCAGCTGAGAGAGCTCTTCGAAAAACACAAGTTCAAGTCTGCACAGTAGCCTCAGTGGAGACCATTTTTAGTGACTTCTATAGGCTTGGGCCACAGTTAAAAGGCAATGGTTATACAAATGCCAGCTTACACGTCAAGACTGATAGGAACTAAACAAAATAATTATAAATAACACCTGACAATTTTTTAAAAGTATGCATTTAAAACTTGGAAGCAAAATGAATAACAAGTAAATCTTAAACAGGTTTACCAAACACCCACCAGGTACACAGTATTAAGGAAATCACTGTGGCCAAGAAAAAAGTAAGTTGGACATTAGTCCTACTTTAAAATTCTCACAGGCTGGCAGGGAGGATGAGATGTGAGCTGTCATAAATGGTGTAGCAACCAGACAAGCAAGACAAAGCGCTATGCAAAAGTGGCTTTCGAGCTTTTTGGGAATGGCCCTTAATAAGAAACACAATTTATATAATGACCCGGTAAGGCACATGTACAACCACTGAAATAAAATGTGATCCATTCTGGTATTTTTTAATTCTATTCCTTTCTGCCCTATTTCATGAATAAAATATGCTGGTTAAGGCCTTTTAAATTGATTTTATGACCATTAATTGAAAACCACACATTGAAAAAACACTGCTAAGGGACATTTCAGCTATAGGGACTTTGCTATTCCTTTATATTTCTCCTTAGAAAATCAGTCCTATGGGACCAGATCAGTAACCATTCAAAGCTCAGAGTCCTGCTGTCAAGAGTTCCAGAGTTGTTCCCTCTTTTCTGACCCATTTCCACCACTAAGAAGCATTCAGACCAATGGGGAGGCCAAGAAGGGATTGGTACCAGGCTCTCTCCATTCTGCTCTAGGCTTAAATGCCTCCAGTCAGTAAGGCTAGGGAACAATGGTCTTGAAATGGCAATCCACTCCAGTATTCTTGCCTGGAAAATCCCATGGACAGAGGAGCCTGGTGGGCTACAGTTCATGAGGTCATAAAGAGTCAGACATGAGTAAGCAACTGAGCACAAAAAGATCTAATAAAGAAAAAGATTTTCCAAACTCTGTCAGGGTTTCCTAGATTGAGAACTATATTTTCCCCGGGTAATACCTACTCTGAAAACTCAAGCCTGAAGATGTAAGATCACTGGAATAAATGACTACTCACTGTATTAGAAAAGAGTTCATGCTTCTTTCTAAACATTCTTGGATTGGTGTGGCTGCTTTGAAACCCTTAATTTCTTAAGCTGTTAAAAAAAAAAGACCAATAAGACTATCTTGGATGTATTTGATTCTTAGTTCTATTCTATAATTTGCTAAGTCTTATATGAAATTTCTATATCCCACTTTCTATTTAAAAAGACACAAGTACGCTTAAATTTTAAAGGAGAAGTCAGCAGTATTTAAAAGGAAAAGAAATTTCCAGAATTTTCTTACTGAGAGAATTAGAAATCCACCTCTTATCCTCCAATGCACAGAAATAGAACCAAAGGTGCATGTGGCTGAGGTGAAATAAAAGAGTGAATGTCCTTACTCCCTCCTTTTTTTTTAACCAAATTTCTATCTATCATTCTTTTTTTTTTTAATTTTATTTTTTTAATTTTTTATTTTTTTTCCATTTATTTTTATTAGTTGGAGGCTAATTACTTTACAACATTGCAGTGGTTTTTGTCATACACTGAAATGAATTAGCCATGGATTTACATGTATTCCCCATCCTGGTCCCCCCTCCCACCTCCCTCTCCACCCGATCCCTCTGGGTCTTCCCAGTGCACCAGGCCCGAGCACTTGTCTCATGCATCCAACCTGGGCTGGTGATCTGTTTCACCCTAGATAATATACATGTTTCGATGCTGTTCTCTTGAAACATCCCACCCTTGCCTTCTCCCACAGAGTCCACAAGTCTGTTCTATACATCTGAGTCTCTTTTTCTGTTTTGCATATAGGGTTATCGTTACCACCTTTCTAAATTCCATATATATGTGTTAGTATACTGTAATGGTCTTTATCTTTCTGGCTTGCTTCACTCTGTATAATGGGCTCCAGTTTCATCCATCTCATTAGAACTGATTCAAATGAATTCTTTTTAATGGCTGAGTAATATTCCATGGTGTATATGTACCACAGCTTCCTTATCCATTCATCTGCTGATGGGCATCTAGGTTGCTTCCATGTCCTGGCTATTATGAACAGTGCTGCGATGAACATTGGGGTGCACGTGTCTCTTTCAGATCTGGTTTCCTCGGTGTGTATGCCCAGAAGTGGGATTGCTGGGTCATATGGCAGTTCTATTTCTAGCTTTTTAAGACATCTCCACACTGTTTTCCATAGCGGCTGTACTAATTTGCATTCCCACCAACAGTGTAAGAGGGTTCCCTTTTCTCCACACCCTCTCCAGCATTTATTGCTTGTAGACTTTTGGATAGCAGCCATCCTGACTGGCCTGTAATGGTACCTCATTGTGGTTTTGATTTGCATTTCTCTGATAATGAGTGATGTTGAGCATCTTTTCATGTGTTTTTTAGCCATCTGTATGTCTTCCTTGGAGAAATGTCTGTTTAGTTCTTTGGCCCATTTTTTGATTGGGTCATTTATTTTTCTGGAGTTGAGCTGGAGGAGTTGCTTGTATATTTTTGAGATTAATCCTTTGTCTGTTGCTTCGTTTGCTATTATTTTCTCCCATTCTGAGGGCTGTCTTTTCACCTTGCTTATAGTTTCCTTTGTTGTGCAAAAGCTTTTAAGTTTCATTAGGTCCCATTTGTTTATTTTTGCTTTTGTTTCTAAAATTCTGGGATGTGGGTCATAGAGGATCCTGCTGTGATTTATGTCGGAGAGTGTTTTGCCTATGTTCTCCTCTAGGAGTTTTATAGTTTCTGGTCTTACATTTAGATCTTTAATCCATTTTGAGTTTATTTTTGTGTATGGTGTTAGAAAGTGTTCTAGTTTCATTCTTTTACAGGTGGTTGACCAGTTTTCCCAGCACCACTTGTTAAAGAGGTTGTCTTTTTTCCATTGTATATCCTTGCCTCCTTTGTCAAAGATAAGGTGGCCATAGGTTCGTGGATTTATCTCTGGGCTTTCTATTCTGTTCCATTGATCTATATTTCTGTTATCATTCTCAAATCAGCTCAGTATTTAATACTTTCATTCATAGATGATAGATACTTCTATTCAATCTACTATTATATTGGGTTGACCAAAAATTTCATTCAAGATTTTCCATAACATCGTACAGAAAAATATGGAGAAACTTTTTGGCCAACCGAATACTATTGCTGTATAAGATGCATGCCCCTTTAATATTCTCTTCAGAACTTTTGCTGCCCCACAAAACATTGTAACCCCTAAGTATTAATTATTCTTAATACCCTTTGATTTAAAAAATATTTGCCTCAAAGGAAATACACTGAAGCGACACTGGAATGAAACTGTGTGTCAACACTGCCTCCTAGTGGCATATCTCATATTTTGAAAAAAAAATTTTTTTTAATTCATCCCTCCACCAAGTACATTCATTTTATTTCCAGAAATTTTGTTCATTAAAAGGGAGGTTCATTCAACATTTCTCACTGGTCAAGATATTTTTATGGAATCAAAACCAGAGAAACCTTAGAGATCAAGAGTCTAAACTCTCCCTTTTAAGGATAAGATTCTAAAAGCAGGATGCCAAATCAGGAAGGACTTGTTAGTCTAAGGCTGCCAGGAAAGATGGCTTTAGCTTAGATTCTTGGTGTAAGGAGAGTGGAACCAGGACAGACAGTTCACAAAACTAAGGAGTTCAGCCTCCTGCCAAGAAATAAAGATCCCTGCATTACTCAGAGTCAGTGTAAACTCGCTGAGTGAACTGTTTGTAGTTTATGTCCTGATACTTATTCACACTGTAGCAAAGTGCCTTTGAGTAAGGGAGCCAAGCCAATGCAGACCTAAAATGGAGGAGACTCCTGAGAGTCCCTTGGACTGCAGGAGATCAAACCAGTCAATCCTAAAGGAAATCAACCCTGACTATGCATTGGAAGGACTGATGCTGAAGCTCCAATACTTTGGCCACCTGATGCGAAGAACTGACTCATTAGAAAAGACCCTGATGCTGGGAAAGATTGAGGACAGGAGGAGAAGGGGACGACAGAGGATAAGATGGTTGGATGGCATCACCAACTCGATGGACATGAGTTTGAGCAGGCTCTGGGAAATGGTGAAGGACAGGTAAACCTGGCATGCTGCGGTCCACGGGGTCGCAAAGAGTCAGACTTGATTTAGGAACTAGTCAGCAACAATGGAGACAGAACTGGACAGGAAGAGATCCAAAGCATCAGTTCCCAATTTATCCAGAGGAGGGCAGCAAGGCATCAGCTGGGAATGCCAGAGGAGCCATATTTTTGCTTTGAACTGGAGCTGTTTCATCGGAACAAACTATAACATTGAATGGCAGAAGCAGCTGTAGCTCTCTTTTATTTGTTTTGATCAGTTTTTCCCTAAGATACATGGATTTTGGCTCACATCCTGGACAACCCACCCAGTGCGGAAAGCTTTATCTCTCTCCAAACAGCTCCTCTTTTTTTTTTTCCCCAGGGGTCACTGTTCCCGGCTTTGAGCACACTGGCTGTCTGAGAGCACTACCCAGACTGTTTTCTCAAATAGCCTTCCTGTTAGTCAATAACATCCACTCAGCCAGTCTGGAACCTTCCATAAGTAACCTGCCAGGTGGAGAATCCTGATTCTTACCCAATTAAGGGGGAAGGAGTCAATTTGAAAAGAGAAAAACAGGGTCCCAGGAAGTGCTTCCAGAGTAGTCTGTCTGAGAATGTGTTAACTATAGAGTTAGAGATAACCAGGCCCAGTGTTTCTAAACATCTTCAGGAACAAATGAATGTTTAGCGTTTGAACAGAAAACGACTGAAAGGCAGCCAAATACAGACTTCTCACAGATGGTGACAGGAAGAACGGGGTCATTTGGCCAAAACTGGTGGGAGTGTGGTGAGGGAAAGTAATAGCTAGAAAATGCTTCCAGTTTTCCAGCAGCTGGAGGCTCTGTTGGCCTTGGAGATGAAAAATTAAGG